AAAAAAAAAAATAAAATAAATTAAAGCAATAATGAGAAACTATTATTTTTTTTTTCAGATTTGATTGTATTGCTTGGCAGCTTGGCGGATCGGTTCGTCGACTGCTCATCTGCCCAGTCGAGCGGTTTCTGGCAGCTATCGCCGATGCCGGCGGTGGCGTTGCCGCAGTCGCTGCCGCTGCTGCTGCCGCGGCTTGTGTATGTGACGGTGGCGTCGCTTCTTCTTGTGCCTGCCCTGCTTGTTGCTGCTGGGCTTGCGGCGCCTGGTGACGCGCTGCTGCGCTGAGTCGCCATCGTCCAGCTGGGTGGGCAGACTGTGGTCCAGGTGGCGCCAGCGCCGCGTGTCGTTGCCATTGATGATGGTCGTCGTTGTGGTGGTGGTTGTGGTGGGCGTGGTGAAGGTCGGGATCGACTGCGGTATCACAATGATATTCTCACGGGCCGGCTCCTGCGGGAAGAGGCCGCGGAAGAGCATGAACTTCTTGAACAGATCTCGTCCGCTGCCCACATCCGTGCCGCTGGCACTGCGACCCGCCGTCTGGGGCAGACGATAGCCTGAATGGGCAGAGTTAGATGCAATTGATTGTGCTGGAAATGAATCTCAGATCTCACCGGCTCGCAGAGTCTCAGCCCCTTGCAGCACCTGGAACAGCAGCAGCGCCAGATAGACGCTGCACGGCATCCATTTGCCCACAGATCGAGCTGGATCGTCTCTTGGCATCGTTTAGCGGTTCTGGCAGTAGGTTCTGTGCGCTGGCTTGGCTGGGTAGCGACGCTTTTATAGATGGGTCCATGATGCGGGATGCAATTAAAAAGTTTCACCCGAAATCGAATTGCGTGCTTGCGTGCGCGACGCTGCCTTGACATGGTATCATTAGAGGCGCTGAGGCTGAGCCGTTGCGTTGCAGCCATGACTGGCGGGCACGTAAATCAAGCGGCAAGTGTATATGTGTGTGAAGAGCTCATAGAGAGAGAGAGAGAGAGACAGGCATACGCTGAGATAAAGTAAGTAGCCGAGGCACAAGTGAAAGTTGTAGGCACAGTAAATCAAATCTAATAAACTCGACAATAAACATGCGCACATAAATCTCGGAAGGCGGCACGAACGAAAAACTGGCAAATCAAGTTGCAGCCCAAACAACTATGCACACACACACACACACGCACATACAGCTTGTATATGTATCTGAGAGATACAATACTTATGGCTGGCTAAAGCAGCAGCCCGAGCGTGTTGTATAAATAAATAAACGAATTTATGTTTTCACAGCCAGCCTCAATCTTTTGTGCGTGTGTGTGTGCGGCATATTTTTTTATGCACATATTTATATTACATGACCACTTTTGCGGCCAAAGGATGTGCGGCAGATAGTGTCAGTGCGTGAGACACAGAGGCAAATAACTTTAACATAATTCACTTAAATCTTTTCGGTTTAATCTTGAAAAGTGTTTCACACACACACACACACAAAGAGAGAGAGAGAGACAGACACAGAGCCAAGCACTAAGTGTTCCATTCAGACATAGCTTGACAGAGCGACAGACAGACAGAGGGCGAGAGCTGTGGAGTCCTGACAGTCAAGTACATTGTAGCACACCCACACAAACACACACACTGAGAGCTGTCCAGCAGCTGCAAATGTATCTGTATCTGTTTCTGAATCTGTGTCTGTGTATATACGATACGAAATGTATCTTGCTTTGTATGCCAGCTGTGCGTAGCTATGCTTGACTTCAACTTTTGGCGCCCAAGTCAAAATGTTTTCTTGTAATTTCGCAAAGTGTTGAGTCAATAATCAACAGGATCTCATAGGGTCCTTAACCCGGGGCGAACTGATTAACAAAACACAAGAAAAATATTGAAAGCCAATGGAAAATTTCATAAATTACATCTGTATGAAGAGGGAACAGAAGAGAGGAGAAGAGAAGACAAGAGAACTACTGAGTAGGAAAGCTTTAATCGTGACTGCCCAACTACGAGAGGCTCCGAACCCTGCGAGCAACTGATATTTTATACATTCTGCTTACACAAGAGATACAAAAGGCACACACAAGCGCACGCACACATAAGCAGCATAAGAAAATTCGAAATTCTTTAAAATACTCATGAGTCTATATATAAAATTTAGAGACTCTAGCTCTAAAGACATAGGAAATATTACTTTATTACAGATTTTCGATAAGGTTTTTAATCGATAACAAAATAAGGGGAGTAGCTATCGATTTTTGGAAACAAGCTCCATATGCGGGTGGCATATGCAAACTCAAAAATAAAAATTAAAGTCTTCAGCTCTTATATCTTCTGAGATCGACGCGTTCACACATACGATTCAGTTCGTTATTTACTTTATACCTTATGGGGTCTGCCACTCCTCCTTCTGCTACTATACAATTATTTTCCATTTTCAATATGCATACATCTATTCACTACATTTGATATATGATATTATACATGTATATTTATATATATTTCTTTGTGTATTATAAATATTTATATCTATATTAATTTTATTTTATATATTCGCCTTTGAATCTGCCATCATTTATAATTTTGTTGTGGCTGCTGTTGCTGCTGCTGCGGCTGTTTGTGATAAAATTCAATTATAACATTTTCTATTAACTTAAAAGCTTCTTATATTTATTTAATTTGTTATTGTAGCTTGGCTGTTGTTGTTGCTGTTGTTTCTATTGGTGTTGTTGTTAGTTTTGTTCTACTTGCCAATTATTGTTGCTATCAAATGCACACCCACAAGCAAACCCACACACACACACAGCACACACACACACAGAGAGAGTGGGTGATTTTATGAGTGCTGCCATCAAATAAGAATTCCTTGGCAGCTGTGCGTCTGTTGGCCATCTTTCTCTTGGAAAATAGTTGACATATTACAGCCAGGCTAAGTGTCTAATTGTCTGTCCGTCTGCCTGTCTGTACGTTTGTCCGTCTGACTGCATTTATCTGAATATCCATTTTCATTTGCCAGCATATTTCAATATTCACAGCCCAGCCCCAGCTGCCCGAGCGCCCATTAGCCCGATTTCAATTTATTAGTACTGCTTCTTCCCACATCGCCTTCTTCTTCTTCTTCTCCTTCATCTTGGTCTTCTTCTTCTTCTGCTTCTTTCCATTGTTGCTATTGTTGGCCTGAATTGAATTGTTATGCAAGCAAATTAAATCGATCTACTTAAAATATGAACGAAATGCATTATGGCATTCAGCCTCTGCTATTCGATTCGTGGGCAACGGGGCGTATGCCTAATAATGCTAAATGGACTCCGTTTACAAACGGAAAACATGCGTAAATTAAACCTCAAAGGCAAATATGCAACGTCTTGGGCTAATAATGGCCACTTCATTTCTACAGCATTTGCTGTTGTTATTAACAGATTTGTGGTTTTTGTCTACCCAAACTACTGCTAATAACTTGAGTGCCAATCGAATCTGAATTTCAATAAACAAACCTCCACTGGGCACGGCTGAGGCGGCTGTTGAGTGTATACTCAATACGGATTTACGTAAGCATTGCGGAATTTCCAATGAAAATAATCTTTTAAGCTATTCCTCGCATTTTCGAGAATAGTGAAAATTCGTTGTAAGCTAAATTCATTACCATTCAGATGCATAATTCCAATCCTTGTTAAGCTGAGGAGCCCACTGAAAATGCTAAATCGACGTTGGCTGAAAATGAATGTAACAGGTCAAAAGAGGCGTGGTCAATTTCACAAATATATATATGTATGTATACGGTCCGATTGGTTAGGCATAGAATAGAAGAAAATATAGGATATATACATGTATATGTATGTATAGCTATGTGTACCTATTATATATAAATATGTAGTATATACCTATATATGGTTGAAATAGTGATAGATTAACGTCAGTAATGGCTCTAGTCCTTGCAAGCTGCAAATTCTTTGCTTAAATTTATGCTAACAATAAAATAAAAT